ATTCAACCCCTGCACCAGACCTGACTTGTTTTTATAGTAATATCTGGACATTTCAGCACCTTTAGGACATTGGCACATTACTTAGCTCTAGCTCTTAGCCTCTCTAGTTCAGCACTTAACATTTAAGTGGATTTGATAACCCCAGACCATCAGAGCCCCCAAAGACATAGTGAGATGTTCTCCCTCAGAACTGGTAACTGTCAGACATTAGTTTCACCTCTGTTCTCTCCCAGGGTAACTGGAATGGTAACACATAGAAAAAGGTAGAATTCCTTACGAGGGAGTCATGCCAAACGGCTAAGTATGTATACATTTAGATTTTATGTCTTTTAGGTCATTCCTCAGTGCAGTGCTTGCCCCAGGAGATTTCAGCTCACATCAGGAGACATTGCTTATATGGTTCAGCAAAGAACAAACCACCTGTCTGTGAGGTGAGATTTCCAGAGGTTAGAAGACTGTTGAGAAGTTTGAAAATTGGCTGCATGAAGATTACACGACTATTGCCTATAAAACACATAGTCGCCTGACTGCCACATAGTATTGTAAATGATCGTCATGAGTGTAGAATTTTTAGAAGAAAAAAATACACACAAATAAGGACTGGGAGTCACTCTTCTACTGCAGGAGAAGCTCTGCTATCCCCAATATATCTTGCCAGTCTTATGTCACATGCTCATCCTCAGTTTCTCTGTGGAGGCGGGCCCGGGGTCTAGTGGGCCAGCGCACACGCGCATGCGGACACGCACTGCTTTTCACACTGCTTGGAAAGGTCAGGCTACATGCCTTCCTGGCGAGGTAATGCTGCACAGATATGCTCTTGGGATGAAACTGCACCAAAGGTCAAAACTTGCTTTGCTAGTTGTCATGGAGTTATTTTTCAAAAAGTGGAAATAAATATTTTGCCATTATGTTATTAGTTCACTAGTAAACAAAAGTATAAATTCTATTCTTGGTTGCTTTGTTGGAATATTTATATTATTGTTTCATAAACATGACAGACTCTCCTTCCTTACTGGTTTGAGAAGTAGTTTTGTGTAACATGGGCCTCTGCTCACTTGTTTGTCACAGAGGGGGGTGAATTTGGTTTAGGGTGATTTCTCCCTTCCTGACTGTGATTCTAGGTTTCTGTGGTTAAAAAAACAAAACAAAACAAAACAACAAAAACAAAGATATTGCAATACAAAGTAGAAAAGTGGAACAGACGGTTTGTAAAGGGTGAACTGGGGAACCACTCACTGCTAAGAGATGTGCTCAGGATTTTCCCTTCATTAGGTGGGGATTCCCACAGGTTCAAGGTCAAGACATCAGTGGCATCCTCTATAAATGTATTTCTCATTAATTCAGGGGTTTAATGTCATTTGGGGTTCATTGGTACCCCGACGTGCTTCTTGCATGTTGATTTCAAAACTATGTCCCATGAGGAGCACTAGGTCTGGCTTTGACTAGTTGGACAGGTTGTTTTTCTTAACTAATAACAATCTATTTCAAAGAGTTGGTTCTTCTGATGTTTGTTATTCTCTGCATGTACTCAGTCTCACTTGAAATTTGGCACCATATGGAGTTGCCTCTAATTGCATTTATGTTTGATGTATCAAACAGTTCTTAGGTCTGTGAACTTGTGAGCCTGAATATAAGCACCCTTCAAAGCATAGTTTCATATGAAACTCAAAGGATTGCATTACTCCTTATCTAATCCAAGCTGCTGTTCCCATGCCTTCCTCTGACCATTGTTCTTATTTATCTTATTCAATTTGGAAATATCCTTACTCTTTCCTCAGTGGCCCTTGACAGTTGCATACTCCATGGTTTCTCTTTCAGCGTGGATGCCCAAGAATATTGTATTTGGGACACTGCACTGGATGAAGCCCACATACCTTCTTGGACATGCAAGGGGGAAGAGGAATAAAATAGTCCCCAAATATTGGGAGTCTCCATTTCCCTGTAGATGAAAAACACCACCTAACAATCAAACTAAGGGTTTTAGCATTTTTCATAAGCCCTTAATATAGTAATAACACCCTTTTACTTTGTAATATTTTGAGACATCAGTGTTTTACAAATATTAATGGATCAATGCCATTTTGTCACTGACTGTAACTAATCAACTGGTTTATAAAGATCATAGTTCATAGCATTTTTCTTTTTTAAGTATGTCATGGACTCATGGATTTTATCACGAAAATTACCTTCCACCCACAAAAAGCTGAAAATGCTCATGAAAAATATGATTAAACATATGCATGGATGGTTTGGGGACAAATGGTAAGAACGAGACAGCATGACGAGCATGAAGAGAGACGGGCTCTTGGCTCCAGGGTTGGAAATTATGAGAAATGAGCTGATGGCATATAGTCAGTCAGTCAAACAGTCACTTTCTGTAATCTTAATGCCCAATTGTGTGGCTGAAGCAACCAGTCAGGAGATTTTAATCATCCAAAAAAGGCAAATTAAGATAAACTTCTAGGCAGGGCTGTGGTCATATCTACAAGGTGCTCTAAAAGACTGTAAAGTCCAAGACCAAGTGCCTGTGAACATGCTATGAGTGTGCCAACCTATTGTGCTGTCCGATGTCTGGGCTGGATTACATGAGCCATTTTTCCTTTTGAAGTTTCCAAGAGAAACTTGCACTTGACAGCCATCATCTCAGATGGTTTTCAAGTAAGCCATGGGCACTCTTTACAGTGTGTGCGTGCTTTTTTTCCCCCTTAACTTGTCTGTCAACCCTGTTAGAGTTTGAGGGCTTTAAGAACGTAGCATTGCGCCTTAAAAAAAAATGTTTGCTTGATGTCAACATGATTTGATTTAATACCCAATCAAGATTTCTTTGAAAGTTCTGCTTTCTTAAAAATGCTGACTTGACCCAAGTGACCTAGTACCGAAGCAACTTTTAGGAATGGACTCCCTTCACCCAATCATGGAGGCAAGTTAATATTTCTCTCCAGCTCGTGACTTTTGCCCCATTGTGGGGTAGGCACTTCCTAAATGAAGAGAAGCAGCTACCGCAAATGCTGCAGTTCCCCTCATTCGGTGACCATTCAATCACATGTGAGCTCCTTGTGTTCTAAACTTCATGCTCTCAGATGCTATAGGGTCTTCTTTCACTGAGGCCAATGGGTATGATCCAGATGGTGAGTTCATGTGTTAGGATTTTGTGGTGTGCTCGTTACAGTGCATTTTTGAAATGTATTAAATTTTTAAATTCAATAATATGAACCAGCCATCCTGCAGCAAGTCTATTCTTTGTAAAAACAGCGATAAATCAAAGTAAAATAAGATGGAAAAAAAAAAAGAATGGATTCCCCTCAAACACCACAAGCTCCCCACCTTCTCCTTTTCCCATGTGGGGGTTACATGAATACATTGGCCTGGACCCACCCCATCCTGGTCACTTTGCTCTAGAGGGATTCTTTTAGGAGACGGGCATCTGCTAGACCACATGTAAGGAAAGGAAGTGATAGTGAGATACTCAGTGTCCTGATGCAGACAGGACTTTTTATTTTATTTTATTTTTTTTTTTTTACAGCTGTTGGCCATTTATTTGTATCTCTTTTTTTTTTAAATAAATTTTATTTTTATATTCCCCATACAATTGCAACCCCCTTATTTTGACCCCAAGACAGGACTTTTTAAATTTGTCAAGGAAACGGAGTATAGGGGTAACTTCCGCTTTATGCAAAAAATGTGCATAAGATTCAAGTATGTATGTATGTATGTATGTATGTATGTATATGTGTGTTTATATGGAAGCAAGTATGTATATGTACTTTTTTCTGAGGAGGTATTAAACATTTCATTGGGTTCTCAAAGGGATTTGGGGCCCCCAAAGTAATATCTATTGCTTAGTGTGAGTGAACAGAATCTGACTTTTAAATGTGAAGCTTCTACTTTGGTAATGAGCTTCTTGAAGGGGAGGCTAACTCTGAGCTTCTTACTGCTCTCTGTACCTTGAACAACAGGGTCAGCACGCTGTGATCAGTCGTGATGTGTGTGGACAAAATGCACGAGGAGGGGTAGCGAGGCTTACCTGAAAACCAGCACTGTGAAGATGGCATCATCCAATGTGGCTCCTGCCCCTACCCACCACTGGTGTGCCCACTCGCAGCAATTGGAGTGAAGAATCTTGCCTCTTCCTGTAAAAGCCGAACTTTTCCATTTTATTTGTACATTTTGAAATGTCCATACTCTTTTCCAATGTCCAACTACGACTGCTACCCAATTTTTATTTGTAAAAGGTGCATCTCTGCAAAGATTTTATATTAAAGTCTTAAAACATTCTGAGGGATACACAGGCTTTCCAGGAAGTGGGACGTCCATGACAATAAAAAGAGGCTGATTTTCCTCATTTAGAAGTCTATTTTCTTATTCCTTTCCTGAAGTGAAAAAGAAAGGAGCAGAAGTCTGTGAAATCCCACACACATTCAAGTTTTAAATGGAGAAAGCCAAGCCAAGAAGAGCTGTGCCAGCAGGAGCAGGCAGTGTGTGGGGGCAGCAGGTGACTTTTCTAATGAAGCTCACAGTTTGGGTTAGGTTAATGGGCTGCTACAAAGCAAGAGGAACAAAAAAATCCCTGCTCACCCTCCTCCAACCCCCACCCCCATCTTAAAAAACAAAACAAAACAAAACAAAAAAGCTTAACTCGATGGCTCAGCAAATGTTTTCCCTATTATAGTTTGGAAAGAACATGACTTGGAGGCTCTTTTTACCCCTTAGCCTTTCCTCCCGCCCCCGACTGTACCATTAACTCCTAGATACTGGGGTGACTCCAAGGGCTGGGCAGTAAATCAGCCCTTTCCGCATACTTTCCCTGCACTTCATCCATGACAACACTTGTTGCGTGGGTTTTTTTTTTTGTTTTTTTTTTTGACATTGTGTTTTGACATTGTTTTATGATAATCAGTCTAGGGGTTTGCTCTGTTACAAGGTCACAGACTGGGTACTGAACTTTGGACCGCAGCTGAAGGCGAGGTAAACAACAGGGCTATAAATACCAGCGTGTCCTCCTCTGGCTTTGTGGAGCTGCGAGGCTGAGCAGAGAGAAAGTAGCGGCTCTTTGGCAGGGGGGCTGTAAGTAGGACTTCGTATTTTCTTTGATTCCTTTAGAGTTTGGTAAATCTTCTGAGTCTGATAAAATGTTTCTTTGCTTAGAATAGACTTTAAAACAAGACATGCATTTGTACAACGCAAGTCATTATTTTAAAATCATGTAACTATTCTATCCTGAAAACATGTAAAATAAACCCTTTCTGGGCAACCTTTGACTGTACATTTTGTGCTCTTGAGCGAAATGTGCTGTATTAAACCTGCTTCTGAAAAAGTTTTCAAAATTTAAGGTTTTAAGTAACCTCCTCTTTTCACCATATGCATATGTCAGGTATGTATAGGAGTAGAAATTGAAATTTTATTTGAATGGTAATGTTAATAACCCCTGAAGGAGGGGGGGCAAAAATCAATATCCAGTATATTTTACTGTCCCAGGTTATTAAAAATTTACCATTAAAAAGAGACGGAAAGAAAAACCAGGCAAATGAAAGAGAAGCAGAGTGTGAAATAGGGTGTGGTGGGCACAGACCTGGGGTGGGCAACTGACAGCTGTTGATTTCTGTGCTGCGCTCTGCATAGCCCTGACAGGAGATGGGTGCAGGGAAGGCTGCAGAAGTCTGACCCTTTGCACAAAGCCATGACGACACAGAAGCACAGTATGGGTCCGAGTTAAATATCTCCCACTGAACTGCAGAGGGAGAACTCTAGGCGGAAATCCTTCCATGGATCTAAAGATCAGAGAGGACAATACGGCCTTACAGAGCTACAGAAATATCCAGGAGTGTTGTGAGCAGATTCAGAAAAGAAAGGTTTGATTCTCTGTGCAGAAGTGGTCGTCCCTCTGAGAATTAAAGAGTCAAAATCGGGTGGTTTATGAATAAATGCAAAACTTTGCAGTATTGAGTGGTTTTTAGTTGAATGAGCAAAGACCCTCAGAATCTCTTCAGGGTTAAGGATGGAAAAATGTTCCAGATAGCCTTCCTTTTAGTGGGGAATTTTAAACAAATGTATGTTTGTATGGGGTTAACAAATCTAGCTTCTGTGATTGAAAAGTGGGGGAGATTATGATTTTTTTAACTGCTTTCTAGTTGTTTTTGGACCAGCTCCAGTAAATCCAATTTTGTTATCGTCATTATTTTCATGAAGCTGACAGCTCTAATTATAATCAAAGGTTTATTATGTAAAAAATAATCTTAAAACAAAATTGAACAGCCTATTGATTATAAAAACAGAAAAATCTGAACATATGTATTTTGTAATCCACAGCTTTGTGCAAATGGTTTTATTTTTCACTAAAAACTAAATGGGGGAAATATCCTTTCATTTATATTCACCATTTAGCCAGTGGGAACTGTACACTAGAAGGCAAAGTAACAATGGGTAACAAATGCTGAATTTAGGCTTTATAGTTACTGAATGTATCTAGGACATAGGGAAGATGTAGCTATTCTTGCAGGAAACAAAACACTTTGAGTTATTTTGATGTTCTTTTAGCCATCCTGGGGCATAAAGAAACAAACAAAACCTTGGCTAGCTATAGTTCTTAAGGGTATCAATACATTGTCTAACAGCTGTCAATACAGCTTAGTAGCTGACAGCTTGTTCTGGATTTAGCAGAACTGACTTGAATCCAGTCTCTCTTATGACTTACTACATATATGAACTTGGGTAAGACACCTAAACCCTCTCATAGGCATAGTTTCCTCAGTTACAAAAGGGGTAATCGTCACAGAGTTATAAAGATGAACTGATCTGATAGAAGAAAGTGCGGCACGCTGCCTGCACGCAGCTCTGTACGTGTGTTGTAGATGAGATGACAGCTTCAATAAGGATAACTGTGTCATCAATATAAACACCATCTTAAAGAATTTCCCTAGACTTAGTCCAGATATATCTTCTCCTTTTTCAATATCAGGATTTTGATAATATTAGGATAGTTGGGGGCCTCCCGGGTGGCGCAGCGGGTTGAGTGCCACTCTGTGAAGCTGTCCGCAGCCTCTGCCATGCCGGTTCGATTCCCTGCCGGCCAGGGCTATTCCCACACGGCGAGGCAGACCTCTCCTGTCTCGCCCACTGCTCCCCTCAGCAGTGTATTTCGGTCGTCTGCCTGTTCTGCTCCCCGCTCTGTCTCTGGTGAATCCTCTCACCCTCCCGCGCCTCTGGCTTGTAACCAGCGCTTGTATAAATAAATAAATCTTTTAAAAAATACATTAGGATAGTTGGGATGGCCAATAATCTCTCTGCTTTCCCCTCGCTCTTATTCTATTTTTCTCTCTTCCTTCAGTTAGGTTCTTCATCAAGCTATCCCAAGTACGCAGGAATTTTGGGGTGTAAATAAGTTCAAGGATAGTCAGATTTTAAAAAATTCTGTCCACATCTACCCATTCCTTAGAGTGCAGATAAACATACTCAATCTAGTTAGACTTTCCACTTCCCTCTCAGTTCTGGGCACACTGCAGGTAACTCATTATTAGCTGCTGCCTTTCCCTTTCCTAACCATCCCCCTCTTTCTTCCCTCCCCCCAAGAAAGTGCTTTTACTGTTTGATCCCAGATCAGTGTTTGAAAATGCACCAACTTCCTATTTCTGGAATTTTGTCCTGATCTCTCTCCACAGACTCTTACATGAAAATGAGCCTGATTCCCTGTTGAATTTTTCTTTCTCAGCTGAATGTGTCCTTTTTCCCCTTCTTTTAACCACTTCTCTGTAATTCACCTGTCTTATTTATACCTCTCTGCCGAGAAACGTAGCCCTAGTTTTGGGAACATTTTTGATCAGATATTTAACTTTCCTACTCAGAAGGGGAATTTTTACACACCAGAATGAGCCATCTCCTCACAATAATTTAGTGGCAGTCAATAAATAACCTCATGATGTGTAGATTTCAGTGACAGTGTATGAACAGGGCCCTGAGACATTATTTCTTTTTCTACTCATCTTATATGCAGGAGTAACAGCTTGGCAGGTAATTTTATGTTTAAAGAGGTTCAAATACTTCAATATTAACAGTGCTAGACCTTAAAGAGGAACAAAAGAGAGCCATGCCCGAGGTTCTTAAGTATGGAAGGTTCAGATTCCTAAGTATGGAAGGTTCGAACCTGAAGAAGCGAGAGCTCTCTACCAGTGCCCTTCCTGCTGCCTCCTTTCTTCTGGGCTTCTCTTTCCAAGTGGGCTCCTTTCATATCTGTGCAGAATCCCTCACTTACCCTTTAGATTGGTAGAAGACTGAAAGCAGTCAGAATTTGGTTTGCCTCCAGCAAAAGTCAAATTATATTTGCAGAATGTTATTTGACAATAGAGGTCACGGTCCCAAAATTTTTCTAAACATGTATCTTTTCTTAGAGAAGTGCTGGCAGCCTGTTCAGGCAAATCTCCCATAATGTGCATACTATTTTGTTAAGCCAGATAGTTGTTTTTCAGAAAAAGATTTATTTATTTATGCATGTAAGAACTGGGGTGTAGACCAGAGATGCAGGGGGTGAAAGGATTCACCAAAGAGAATGGGGAGTAGAACAGGGGGATTGACTGAAATACACTGCTGAGGGGAGCAGCAGGCGAGGCAGGAGAGGTCTGCTGCAACATGTAGGTTGCTTCCTGGCTGGGATCGAACTTGTGCTGCAATGGCCTGTGGTAGCTTGATAGCACTATGTCTTTAACCCCTGCACCACCAGGGAGGCCCTAAGCCACATAGTTAAGTGGTACTTTGACAACTCCAGGCCTCTGGCTGATCTTTCCCCATTATAGGCAGATTTAGTGCAGAGAGGCACGATTGGAGTCCAACAACATGCACACAGAATCCATGGGCTAGGTATTTATAGGAAGCAGAATTATACCTGCTGGTTTTATAGCAATTTCTAGATATGCCTGTGGAGTCATCTGTGAAGATGACAGGAAAGTTTTCTCTTCTACAGGACAACCCCAGCCATGTGGAGGAGCCTGGGGCTTGCCCTGGCTCTCTGTCTCCTTCCTTATGGAGGGACAGAGAGCCAGGGGCAAAGCGCTCTCTGTAAGCAGCCTCCATCCTGGAGCATAAAGGATGTAAATCCAATGCTGAACTCAAATGGATCAGTGACAGTGGTGGCTCTTCTTCAAGCAAGCTGACACCTGTGCATTATGCAGGCATCTAGGTAAGATAGTCTTTTCATGGGCTAGGATTTCTTCAAGGAGAAAATAATACATACATTTATGTACACATACATACATATGTAAAGTAAAAGTAGAAAGGATGCATTTATCAAACCACATATTTTTTAAAAACTTGCTTCTGCATAGAATTTACTAGAAGAATAAAGACTAGGAGGATACACACAAAATTGCTTACAGTGGTTTTCCTGAGTCAATGGAATTTTTTCATCTTTTGGTGAATCTTTATTTTGTTATGCACTACTAAATATATGTATTACTTGTGTAATGAAAATGTTCTAAAATATACTCTTGCAAATGGATTAGTTATTGCAACGTAGAAGCAAAAACAAGTGCTTTGCCAAAGTAGAATGAATGCTAAACTCACTACCAAAGGTCTTACTTGGGTCATTTACCAAACACATAGAAGAAAATAAATGAAAAAATATTTGTTGGGTTATTTGCCAAATATTTATTGCATAGAATTCTCTGTAACTGCGAATTTAATTTAAAAATATACACTTCCTTAATGTAAGGATTAAGAGAGCATTTAATATAAGGCTTTAACTGAGCACAAGGGCTCAGTAAATACTTTTTTAAAAAGGAGATTTAATTTTTTACAACAATATAAAGAAGGGTTATAAGCAAAAAATAGGAAGAGTTTCATATGAAAAAATTAAGTGAGGAGAGGGATTTCAGTAGTAAAATTAAATGAGATTATTCCTTTTTCCCTGTATTTTCCCAAATATTTCAGATTGGATGAACTGCGAGTAAAATTGGAGAAAGAAGGATATTTCAACATCTCCTATGTTATTGTTAATCACCAAGGAAGTGATTCTCAACTAAAGTATACACATCTTAAAGAACAGGTTTCAAAGCATATTCCTGTTTACCAACAAGAAGAAAACCAACCAGATGTCTGGACTCTCCTAAATGGAAAAAAAGATGACTTCTTCATATATGACAGGTGTGCGAGCACATACACACACATAGCACCACAGATTAAAAAAGATATTGGCTTTGTATTTAACAGTAAATGATTTAAAATACCAGCTTTTGTTTTATCACCAAACATTCAGTTTCAGTGTGAGCCCATTAAAATGTCTGGTTTTAATATATTTTTGAAATCACTTTCTTTCACACAAAAGAATTCCCCCCACCTCGGGAAAATGACATTCTGGTTAATTAAAAAGGATTGCTTTATATATCATGTACATTTCTAACTCAGGAATTCTGTGAATCAATCACCATGCTTACCAGATCGCTTGCTTATCTTAAATCTAATAGTTTTAAGACTACTTACCTGAATTTATGAGCTATGAAGTGTGTTAATTATCTACATGACTCTGCTTTTGATTCCATGAACTAATAAAACATTTATTTTGAGGGAACCTCAGTGCATATACATTATCTGCTATTAACCAACATTCTAATTCTGCTCCGTACAAATTGAGTTGGTGCTCAGTTTTCTTCAGAGGTTGAGTTGGACTCTGCCTAGGCTACACCCTACTTAGTCTTCCTCCAGTGACATTTCTTTCTTTGAGACCTCCAAATTTCCTAAATTTAGTCAATGCAAAGTATAAAATTGTACAGTCATATATAAAATTTGATAGTCATATAAAATTGTATAGATTGAGTAAAATGTGGCCCAAAAGAACATTTCAACTTCACCATTTCTGAGAATGTCAAATGTTCTATAATTCCATTTCTTTCATTGTGCTGAAATTTTTGTCAAGACTGGTCAGAACTCCAGGACTTTTTTGTTATGCTGTGATTTCTTGTTTTGTTGAATTTGTGATTAGAAAGCTCAGATGATTTGAAGAGCTTAATTTAGGATAAATCCCAATAACTGTACTTCACAGTTTTGATGTTATTTATAGTGACATATTAGTAACATTTCAAAAACTAGCATTAAACTCAGGATAGTCTTGCAGTAACCTGCCTTGGTGGGGAGTGCTAGAACTCCTTTGAGACCCCATTCAAGGAAACTGACTGAGAGTATAAAATGATCTTAGTTATAAGACCATTAAACCTATAATTCCTACAATTCCTATCCTAGACCATGCTTGTGTAGAATGCCGGTGGGAAAAATATTGTAATCACATTATATTTGTTCTTTTTTTTAGATGTGGCCGCCTTGTATATCTTCTTGGTTTGCCTTTTTCCTTCCTAACATTTCCATATGTAGAAGAAGCCATTAAGATTGCTTACTGTGAAAAGAAATGTGGAAATTGTTCTCTCACGGTATTTTTCTCATTTTTTTTTTATTGGGAGAAAAAGAGGAAATCTTAAAAGCTAGCTAAATAAGTTAGTGTTTCATGACCAATAACTAATCAGTGTTTCTGTAGGTGTACTAAAAATAAACACTAGCTTTCATAGTTACATACACTTCCTGCTATGTAACAGGCAATATAAAAAACTTCTCAAGATGCACAGTGCCATCTTTTCTAGAAGGCTTTTAAAAAGCAAAAATCAGGGTCTCCCTGGTGGTGCAAGGGGTAAAGCACCGCACTATGAAGCAATCTGCAGCTTCTGCAGCATGAGTTCTATCCCCGGCCAGCCAGGGAGCTAACCCACATGGCACAGCAGACCTGTCCTGTCTCGCCCGCTGCTCCCCTCAGCAGTGTATTTCGTCAGTCTGCCTGTTCTGTTCCCCAGTCTGCCACTGGTGAATCCTCTCACCCCCCTGCACCTCTGGCCTGTGCCTCAGCTCTTGTATGCATAAATAAATGAAATCTTTTTTTAAAAAGCAAAAATCAATATAGATCACAATTTTAATTACCACCAATGATTTTGTATGAGTGCTGGAAGAGACAGCCACAGAAAAGAGCATTACTGTTCCCATCAGAGCATAGAGAGAGCAGAGCTTATCTGTGGCATTAGCTAAAATGGAGCTGGGGTCCGGATACCTACTTCCTCTAGAGTGCAAGTCTATCAGCTTTCCCTTAAACTGCCTGCGCTCCTGCAGTTGGAATTACTGCATTTACTTCAAAATGGATTCAATTTTCTACTTGATATTACTTTCCTATCAAACATGAAAATATTTATTCCTTGTTATACTCACTATATTTTAATATTATTTAATATTATTTATAAAAAAGATATTCAGGGAATTGATTTTAATTTGAATTCAGTAGACTTCATCCCTTCATATTGAAAAGGAAAATAATTATGAACAATGTTTCCCTGATGGAGAGTATTGAGAACTCAGGTTTTAAAAAAACTTCTGAATTTTATATGTAAATATACATGTCTGAACTTCTTTCAGATTTTTCCCAGCTCTAAAGAAAGCCACCTCTATTTTTAATGAAATATTTAATTAATTTAGTTGCTAAGGAGTACAACAGGTAAATTACTCTAGTTATATCATTTTCACATTTCAATCTTTATAATAATCCTATGAGGAATATTTTACTGTTTTTAAAGATGGGGAGACAGAGATAATGCAAATACAGTAGTAATTCAATGTCTACTTTATATTAAGGGCTTAATAAATGCTATCTATTTTGATTTCTCATTTTGGGGTCAATTCAGTACTTCATATTTTTGCAAATGCCTAATTGTTATACATATGCCTAATTATATTGAAACAAAGGCAGAAGCCATTCCTATATCAAGCTTAAAATTTATGAACCATATGCAAATAAGAATATGCCGTAAGTATCCGAAATGTCGAATCAAAGTGGATTTTCTATTTCAGTGTATCCTAAATGTTGCTGATTATGACACATTATTTTATGTACCCTAAAAAAGTGCTGCCAGTCAAAGTAGGACACATGCTACAATATCATCAGTAGTATTCTGATTTTAAAGATATTAATATGTGGAAAAAAACATAATGTATAGTCAGTGCAATACAGATTTGTTTTAAAGATTTATTTATTTATGCATACAAGAACTGGGGTACAGGCCAGAAGTGTCTGGCCGGGGTGGGGTTGTGCGTTGAAAGGATTCACCAGAGACAGAGTGGGGAACAGAACAGGCAGATTCAGTAGCGGGCGAGTCAGGAGAGGTCTGCTGCGCCATGTGGGTAGCTCCCTGGCCAGGGATTGAACTCTTGCTGCAGAGGCTGCATATTGCTTCATAGGTTGCATCTTAAGCCCTTGTGCCACCATGGGAAAGTAGTTATACTATTACTATAGTTAGTTATTTGTTAAATTATTAAACAATAAAAACATTATAGCGTGTATTTTAAATATGTATCCAATTTTTTTATGTTTTTAATAAAATACGATTATGCTCTCTAAGGTAATTCAGAAATAACAAAAAATAAGTAGCATATAGTAGTTGTATGTCAAAGTCCTATGAAATTTATAATCTTTCAAAACCTTTAAAATACCAAACTGTACCACTTAGTGAGTCTTTGCTCTCTCAAGATGATTCTGTAACTTTATTTTAAAAATCAGTTTAGGTTGAAGTTTAATATTACATTGCTATAGCTATAAGCTTTGAGGCTATCATTTGTGAGGACACAAAACAAAGGATTAAGTGAATTAAAGTAGTAAGTTCATGCAGAACAGAATGTCATGGTCAGTGGAAAATGGGCAGTAATTTGCCATTTTTGGCTGACTGGACTATACTAGAGATGCATTTAGAAAAGTTTTGGTGAAGTTCAAACATTCCCTGGCATAAGTTGAGGTGTGAAAAAACTACTGATTAGGAACAACTTACTGGCATTTTTGAATTATTGAGATAAATTTGCTTACTTTAGAATATAGTATTCAATTCTATGCATGGTTGGTACAGGTGAGAAAAGTCCCATGTACGTCAACTGATTTTAGGATTTGATATTTAATTGACATTACTGTAGTCAATCTAAGTTCCTTTAACAGGTTCATTGACTCTTATTCCTGCAGATGCAAATACAGTGGCTTGACTTTTTTTTAAGTCTTGTGTTGTTCTCAAGTTCTTTTTTAGAATTCTCGAAAGCTTTGCTAATGCTTTTGATAAGAAAAGGAAAATTTGAATTTTGCTGTCAGTTAAGCCAGTATCGAAGTTTAAGTGAACTGCTGAACTTGAGTTGTTTTATACTCTATTTTATCTATTTTTGAAATATTAATTCTAATTCATCTGTAAGATGCTTGAGGATTCTTTGAATAGTAGCAAACTTTGCATAAGAAGCGCTTTATAAATTAGATAAGAATGAGAATAAAACAACTGAAAAATCAAAGTGTTGAGGCAGACATCAAATTCTTCTCATTCATAGATGCTAGAAAAAACAAATCCAATTCAATCCTAATTAACAAGTTGGAATTTCAGTATGTTAGAGCTAAAAATCACTTCTCAAGTATTCCTGCTAAATTTATAAATTTGATGATGAGTGATTCATAAATCTGTTTCAGACATTGGAAGATGAAGACTTCTGTAAAAATATATCTTTGGCTGCTGTGGGAAAAAACACCAGTGAGTCTCCGCAGCCACATAATCACCACCACCATCATCATCGCCATCACTTTCACCTTGGGCACGGTCACCAGCAACTAGGGAAAAGTCAGCATTCAGACGATCGGCAACCAGATGTGCCAGCTTCTCCTGAGCATCACCATGCTCTGGAACATCAGCACCAACACAAGCACAAGGGCCAACAAAAAGAGGGTAACACAGAGAACTGAGATATGCCAGGAAGTGAAAGTTTACAACTTTCTCCTCTACAAAAGAAGCTCTGACGAAAGGGATGTATAAATCAGTTACTCTGAAAGATGCCCAAAGTTTCAGAATTGGCTCCTGGTAGCTGATGCTGACACTGACGACATCTGATATTTGAAAAAACAGGGTCTGCAGTCACCTGACAGTGTAAGGAACATCTCCCTTCTTTATGTAGCTGACAGGGACTTTGGGGAGAGGAAAATGTCATTGAATCTTGACAATGACGTTTGCCTCCAGCTGCCTGACAAACAAGTCAGCAGCAGCCCATGCCCACAGAAGCTAGCACTAACTGAAGCTGAAAAGATCAGGCAGAAATGTGAGAATGACCTTCAATCTAAATATTTAAATTAGGTTATACTCCCCAAGTCATCCTAGACACAATTTCATTTCCAGCATTGTTTACAAAGTTACCTAATTAGTGATCCAAATACAGGAATTGGATTTGTGCAAACATGGAGAAATCTCTTGTATTGGCTTCCAGATTTTAAAATTTATGTCAAAGAAATATTGACCCAAAACCATATTTTTATTACAGAGCAACTGAAAGGTGATTGTAGCATTTGGTTAATATGTCTTTCTTTTTCTTTTTCCAGTATTCTACTTGCATTAATGAGAACAGAAACATAAACTATGACCTAGGGGTTCCTGTTGGATAATTAGCAATTTAGAATGGAGGAAGAACAACAAAGACATATTTTCCATTTTATCTTATTTCTCAAAACAATATTATCTTTGTCTTTTAATCTTACTTTTAAAATTCATTAAACCTTTAAAGAAGTGAACTCTCTCTTTTAGCATTCAGAAATACTTAAGCATGAATATTTTTCTCACTACATTTTAAAATATCCATTTATGCTTTTTTATATCTAAGACTCGTATCTTGATTTTTTTACTATCACATATGAATGAAATCTTTATATCTTGTTTCTTTATCTAGCATTGAACCACACTGTAAAACTAGAAAGCTGTAAGGGGAAAGATCAAGGAAAATTTGAATTTTGCTGTTGATTGCTTAGAAAGTATTTCCATAGTCAATGATGGTTCAATAGGTAAACTAAATCCTATGAACCTGAACTTCTTTATGGTTAATACTGTTAAGCTATTCAATAGAATGCAGTATACAGTTGGCTGAAGTGTGGATTTGTTTCAATAAACTCAATATAAACATTTAAAGCTTTTTTGTTTGTTTTGAAACCGTTGAGGGTTTTTTTTTAATTAAAGTAGTTCTTATTATATAAGATAAATGCTTTTGGCATTACAGAGAAGACTCACTCTTCCTATTAGCCATGGAAGTGGGAGAGGGGGCAGGCTCAGAGACTTGTGAGGGGAGGGGTGGGAAGAAGAGGTGGGGAAGGGAGTGAGGGTGGTGTCAGGCAACTAGTTAGGGCCTAATCCAGCCCACATTAAGATCTCCCAGCTTCAAGCCCCTTTCCACTCTTCAGTTACCTGCCACTCTTTTTTTTTTTTTTTTTAAGATTTATTTATTTTTATGCATACAAGAGCTGGGGTATAGGCCAGAGGTGTGGGGGGTGAGAGGATTCATCAGAGACAAAGTGGGGAACAGAATAGGCAGGCAGACTGACTGAAACATACTGCTGAGGGGAGCAGCGGGCGAGTCAGGAGAGGTCTGCTGCACCATGTGGGTAGCTCCCTGGCCGGGGATCAAATTCATGCTGCAGTGGCTGTGGTTAGCTTCATAGGTTGCGTTTCAACCCCTTGTGCCACCAGGGAGGCCCTACCTGCCACTCTTGTTTAAAGATTTCTGTTCAAAAGTATCAATAACTCACACATAGCAAATATACACAAACCTCATGGTAAACATGGCTGTAAAGACAGCTTTTTAAGTCATTATTAATTAAGTAGTAGTTATATTGACAACAGAAGTAAAATTTTCAACTGCTTTTAAAGAAATTAAATAGTAATGAATGAATTTACTGCTATACTCAAAACCGTCTACGTTTGGCAGAGTTTTTGTCAGTAGGCAAAGAATCTTTGCCCACAGAGAGGCGCTGCTCTAGATCATGAATGGTAGCACGAAGAATAGCAATCTCCTTATTTTTTTCTTCTTGAAGATGTTGAAGTTTCTAAATGAAGCAGAAATAGTGTTTTTGCAATTCAGGAATACCAAAGAACAAGAAAACAACAACAAAAACTACATTTAAGGCTTAAATAGGTATTTAAAATGATCCCTTATTTTGGAAGGCCTGTAATTGCATTTTTGTGGAACATAATATGATAACATTGGTATATAGACACCAAAAACACATTAGTAGCATTTGCCTTTTTGTTTTAGTTTGCTTTCTTTTCACAATATAAGCTTGAAGTTATAAACCATAAATAAAGGAGGAGTTGAACAATAAGAAATCTGAGTGCCTGAACTTCAGGATAATATTCAACTATAGTTCAAAATCTATTGTGGAATTCCATAGATGGTCCAAAGAGTCAGAGGACTTCTCTAATCTTTTAATTTGCTACTTTTAAGCTAAGATTTTTAGCTTAAAAGTAACTTTTAAAGATTATTCAAATTCTAATGTCTTTCTGATTGTGTGGCGTATTTTAAGAAAATCTGTTAAGTATATTGCTAGTAATATTGGATAATTTTTGTAAAAACATTAAGAAAACTAATTTTTGTTTAAGAAATAGGTCATAGAAGAAAAACACATACCCTTCTGTAGATACTCTGTGGCAAAACAGTAGACTCTGGATATAACTTTGATTTAGTTTGAACTCTTGCTAATTTGGCATCAAACTGAATAAAATTTAAAAAGAAAGCTATTGAGAACATTCTAGTTAAGTAATGAGAAACAATTGTTTCTATAAATATACCTTTTGACATATAATATATAATTTAAGTGTAGTCTATGTATAACAGGAGATAGAAGTTTTTCTTTATGAAATAATTATTAAGAATGAACTAAAGGAAAAAAAAAAGAATGAACTAAAGGACACTCAAACAAAATTAACCCTTGTTTCATATTAAAATTATTTTGGGAGCTTCTTAAATGTAACAAATACCTTGGTACTACTTTAGAGATTCTGAAGAGGGATAGCCTCATCTTTTTCTCAAGGCATTCGGTAACTCTATGCTGCAGGATTAAGACCCTAGTTAAATAGGGTTGAGAATTTATATGCTTTTTAAAAGAAAATGTAATCAATACTCATGGGAGAAAAATCCATATACCCTTCTGTAGAAACTTTAAAAATGAATAGAATTTGGATATGATTTTGCTGATTTAGTTTTAAGTTTTATTGGTTTGATATTAAACTGAATTAGGTTAAACGTCTTGTCATAGGCCATTCTTATGGTCAATATTTTTTGCAAAATCTTCCACTGTCTTCTCCTATTCAGTTTAAGTTCAGTTTAGTTTCTCTCCTCAAAGAGAGGAGAATAAATTCTGTTTTGTGCCAAAGCTATGGCTGGACCAGGCCTTGTCATTTTTATTATGATTGCAAGATGCCCTTTGGCATTAACCATCAGGAAACTGAAAAATAAAGGCTTGTTATTCATAGGATCTGGAAAATGCACAGCACCACTGGGGCCATACCCTGAGGTCACAGGTCATAGTGGGGAGGTAGAAGATACAGGGGGAGTGAAAGAAAGAGAGTACTTGGGCTTGGGATCCTGCTTTTATTGGGTTTGAGGGTGAGTGTCCAGGGTTTCATGGGTTCACTTTTTCTTGGTGATTTTAAAACATAAGAGCAGGAATTTCAAGCACAGGAGGAGGAAAAAATTGAGTGGTCCAATTGTCAGTAATTAAAATCAACAAAGATCTCTAAAGCAAAGGGGTCTCAGCTGGGGGAGGCAGTCTGGCTCTCTTTCTAGCCCTGCAGCTGGCAATGTTCGTGTTTGTTGAAATAACTTTCTTTGGCATGGATACCTCTTTGAAATGGACATCTCAGCAATCAAAGTTCTCGAGTCAGTCTTTTACTTTAAAAAAAGAGAAAACCCAACTGTCATGGTTTAAACTATATTTTTGTGAGGTTGTGTTCTGATTTGGGAAGACAAATGGATAACTACAAAGAAAATAAGTAACCAAAAGTAGTTCAAACAACAGACATGGGCTAGACCAGTGATAGGGCCTGAATGGCAAACAAAATGCACATTCATAGTCAGTGGATTAGAAGTTGATAGTAGATCTTAAAATATAGCCTGCTGGGGGTTGTAATTGTATGGGGAATATAAAAAATAAAATTTAAATAAAAAAATTAAAAAAAATATAGCCTGCTGTATCTTAGTTGGCTGTTCAGTCTTCGCTGTGGTTTGTGGGTACACTTGACTAGTGCAGCAGCAGCAAAGAGACTCTAAAGTCAATATCTAGCCTCCTTTCTAGCACATGATCATACACTCTTCAACACTGCACCTCACCAAGCATTCCAGGGATATCAACTTGCAGAAACATAGATAGTAAGTTTAAGCCTGTGAGCTCTGAAGACATAAGGTAAAATGGGACTCAGGCTGGAGGAAAGTGATGGAATAATTATGGAAAGAGACATTGGTAGAATCTAGAAAAAAAATTAAAGAGGAACTATTTTGTCAAAATAGCATTTTTTTTTTTGAGACTCTGACATCCAGTTAAGAAACATACCGAGGGGCCTCCCTGGTGGCGCAAGGGATTAAGATGCAACCTATGAAGCAATGTGCAGCCACTGCAGCACGAGTCGGATCCCCAGCCAGGTAGAGACCCACATGACGCAGCAGATATATCCTGACTTGCCCGCTGCTCACCTCTGCAGTGTTTCAGTCAATCCGCCTGTTCTGTTCCCCACTCTGTGTCTAGTGAATCCTTTCATTCCCCCCCCACCTCTGGCCTGTACCCCAGTTCTTGTATACATACATAAATAAATCTTAAAAAAAAAAAAAAAGAGAAAGAAACCAACTGAAATGTCTTTAGAGCAAATAACTGGAATCTCGGCCTTCAAGATGCCCTATTTGAAGTCACTTAAACTTTTTAAAAACAATATGATTTATCTGTAGATGTATATTGTCTGTATATTTTCCCACACATTTATTATGGAGAATTCTTTCTCATTTTTACCCTAAATAAAAGCAAAAGGAATTTCTAGTTTGTTTGCCAGATTTTCACAATTTCTGCTGAGGACAGTGCTAAGGATTACAATCTCTACACTGCTCAAATGGCAGTCCTGTGAGGCCTGCATTGATTCAGCTGTAAAATGCAGATCCTTTCTGTGTTATCTGTTCCTGCTTTCTTAGGAAACAATAACCTGTCTGGAAACCAGGACCTTCTCCGTGACTGGAAAGCTCCACCTTCAGGCCAAGTGCTGAAAAGCAGGCTAGCTAACAGCTGTTAGAGCATTTGAACATTGCTTGTGAAGTGCATGACACTCTTTTGCAAGGTTGTTGCCACACCTGAAATGTCTCACTGAGATGAAAAATAACCAAAGTACGGCTTAAACTAAGAGATGTATCCTTAAGTTTAGCACAATCTTAAACACCTACCTCTAGCTGTAGTTTGATTAGTTCGTTTTGTTTTTCCCTTTCTTGAGTTCTTAACTTTGCTTTTAACTCTGAAATTTCTACCTCCTTTTTCTCTATCAGTTCTTTATGCTTTTCTTCATTTAATTCAACTGAATGAAACAAAATAAACAAAATCAATTCATCTTATTTTGATAATTTTATAAACATTTCTTTAGCATTTCAAATAATTTAGGAAAAATTTTATTAATAAAACATACTTTAGAAACTATTTATGTGCAGAGTAGCTTTTACATTTTTTTTTTAAGATTTATTTATTTATTTATACAAGCACTGGGTATAGTCAGAGGCACGGGAGGGTGAGAGAATTCACCAGAGCCAGAGTGGGTAGCAGAGCAGGCAGAAGGACCGAAGTACACTGCTGAGGGGAGCAGCGGGCGGCAGGACAGGTCTGCACACCATCTGGGACCCTCCTCTGGTGGCCGGGGAGCAGCTGGGGATAGAACTGGCACTGCAGAGGCTGCGGGCAGCTTTGCAACCCAGCGCTCAACCGCTGCGCCACTGGGGAGGCCCAGCTTTTACATGTTTTTGACAAGCCCCTGCAAAATGCTTGAAACACAAAGGTTAGCCATCCAAAGTTTTTGAATAAATAAACTAACTCTACTCTTAATCAATGGCCTAGAAAATGAGTAGGAGATTTAGTGGTTAAAGGAGGACATGAAGCCTGGGTTCCTAGGTGTAGAGGACCTTGATTTACTGGATGACTGTAGAGCCACATCAAGTTCCTGTTACACTCTATTTCTCATGGTCCCTCTCATTGTTCACACCACATCTCTGGGCTTCATCAAATTTCCTTTTCACTCGGCTTTCCGATTTCTGTCGATAACACCATCTCATCCGGATGGGAGCCTCACAAACATATTTGATTTTTGAGAAAAAAATGTCAATTAGTCCACAAGACCTACAAGTTAGGGATCTTGACATCTGACTAATTTACTACTTACTTAGGTTCAGGCCTCATTTTTTTCTCACTTGGATTCTGTGTCTAGGATTCCTATCACCATTCTCTACCCCCTGCATCCTTTGCCAGGTGAGTCTTCCTAAAGCATACCTTTAAGACTGGCCATTACCTCGAAAATCTTCCATCATGTCCCATCAATTAACCTCACAATTAAACGGTCAGTGTCCAGTCCTAACCATAGTTTCTGGCATTTCTCTTGCTGAACTTTCTGTGGAGTGCAAATGTAGGCAATAGACTATTATTCCCTTAAATGTCCTGTGTCTCCCCACTCTATGTCTTGGCTTTTAGCTTCTCTCTGCCTAAAGGCTGTTCTTTCCATCTTCACCAATCAACCTCATTCACTTTCTGGGCTTAGGATCAGTACAAAGGTTCCATCTTAGCATGGAATGAGGTGAAGCCCAGAATATATTTGGCTATCCAAAGCCTTAGAGACACTGACTTCCATCTGTTCTCAGTCTGTACCTATCATATGTCTGGAGGCAGCGCTGTTGATGACATGAGTGCAGAGAATTTGTGATGAAAACAAGAACTGAAGCACTGTGTGGATCACATACAGAGACCAAATCAGAGGATAGGTGCATGATTTTCCCTGAAACATTTTGTTCTCAAGATGATTTTGGTCTTATGAAGTGAGGTGGAAAATGTTTCCTCTTTTTGGGGGGTTAATTCTCTGAAAAAGTTTGTGTAAGATTGACATGATTTTTTTCCCCCTGAAAGGTCTGGCAGAATTTCACCAGGAAAGTCTTCAAAGCCTAGAGTTTTCTTAGTGGGAAAAATGTTTCTTACAGATTTAATTTAATACAAACATAGAACAATTCAGATTTTCTATATCTTCACGTATCTGTGTGCTCTCCTCCCATCAAAGATGTCTAATTCACCAAAAAAATTAAAATTTACTGGCATAAATATATTCATTGATGCAATCTAATCCTGTCTTTAGTATTTGATGCTCAGAGGATCCAAAGATACTGTAAAACTGTTTTCTAAAGTGGCTATATACTTTTATAGTTCCATCCATAATATATACAAATTCTAATTGCTCTATATCTTCACCAACTGTTGGTATTGACAGTTTTATTTTAGGATTTCTAAAAGGTACAAACTGGCACTCTTTGTGGTTTTAATTTGAATTTTCCTACTATGAATTATCTGAACATGTTTTCATGTGCTTTCTATCTGTGTCTCAGAAGAAATTCCTGTTCAAATATTTTGCTTATTTCCTTGTTGGATTATTTGACTTATTACTGAGTTGTCAGAACTCTTTATATATATTTTGGATATAAGTCCTTAATCAACTATGGATTTATAACTATTACTATCCAGTCTATTGCCTGTCTTTTCATTATCTTAACAGTATTGAAGGACAGAAGCTAATAATTTTGATGAAGTTCAATTTAGAATCTATTTCCTTATCACTGAGGCATTAGTGGTGGGCAGGCTATGAAAATATACACTTGTAGAGGTATCTGAAAGCAGATACAAAAATGTAAACCTATTTTACCTAAACAGAATTTGAAAAAAATAGATTTTTTCCTTTATTATTCGTGTTTTTGTTTTTTTACCAAGAAGTTGTGCCTAGCTCAATGCTGCAAAGATTATTCTCTTCTATGTTTTCTTCCAGCATTTATATAGATATAGATTTACATTTACACCTGGGCTACATTTCGAGTTAATTTTTTCATATGATGTGCCTAAGTATGGGCTCATTAGAAAAGTTCTTACTGCTTTATGAAATCAGTAAACCTCAACATTAAATTCTTGAGACCTGTGTTACTGATGGAAGAAAATGTCATTAAATTACACATATATATCAAAACTATTCATTATACATTTATATTACTTTTATAAGGGTGTTTTATTTCATATTAAATAATGTATAAAATCATGAATCTAATTTAAAAATGTAATTTATGTCACACAAATATATAGAAAGCTATAAGGCAATGTTCCTTCAAGAACACTTGCTATTACTGAAAAAAATTATATGCATATTTAAATTCTTTTATGCTATCTTAGAATTTGGTAAATTAAAAAGGAAAAAACTTACCTTTTTTCTGCATATCCTGATAAAGTTTCCTGATTTCTATTTTATGTCCTTCCTCTTTGATTCTCATTTCACTCATAAGTTTAGCAATATTATTCTTATAATCCTAAAGATTAAAATACATATTCATATTTTGATTTCAGCTTGAGTTTGAAAATCTTAATTCTGTCAGAATTTGACATATTGGTTCTTGGGAGATGAGAAAAAAAATAGTGTAATAGACCTCCCAATGGGCAGAGGGATAGGAACTACCATTTATTGAGCACATTTTACATCCTAAGCACTGTGTTATATGTTCTATAATTGCTATTGTTATGCTATTCTTCTAGAAATGGTATACAGGGTATGTGGCTCTTGGGAGAGAATCGGTGACTCACATTAAGGGCTCCCTTCAGTTAGATGGCACAAATAAAATTTTGGTAGATTACTCAAATCATAAAGATTAAAGACTCCTTTATATAAAGTTTAAAAAGTACTGGTTAATAGAGTATACTCTAGTAATTGTACATTAACTTAAATTTAAAATATAAGCAAAACAGGGACCTCCCTGGAGGCACACGGGGTTAAGCAAGCACTATGAAGCTGTCTGCAGCCACTGGAGCACAAGTTCGATCCCCAGCCAGGGAGGTGACCCACTGGCAGTAGACCTCTCCTGACTTGCCTGCTGCTCCCCTCAGCAGTGTATTTCAGTCTATCTGTTCTGTTCCCCACTCTGTCTGTGGTGAATCCTCTCACCTCCCCCGCCAACCCCGCCCCACTTCTTTATTTATTTATAAATAAATAAAGATTTATTTATTTATACAAGAACTGGGTACAGACCAGAGGTGAAGGAGAGTGAGAGAATCCACCAGAGACAGAGCGGGGAGAAGAACAGGCAAAAGGACCAAAATACATTGTTGAGGGGAGCAGCAGGCAAGACAGGAGAGGTCTGTGGTGCCATGTGGGAATGTCCCTGGCCGGCCAGGAATTGAACCAGCGCCATGGAGGCTGTGGACAGTTTCATAGTGCTGTGCTCAACTTGCTGAGTCACCAGGGAGGCCCCAATAAATAAATCTTTTAAATAAAATAAAATAATATAAGCAAAACGGCTGCATCTCTTTTTCGGTAGAAAAAGCAATGCCAGTGACATATAACAGCATTCTAGTCTACAAGTAACTAGGGTTGACAAAACTTGTATTTCTTAAAAAATTTTCATTCATTAAAGATTCTGGCACACAAACATATACTCTACAACTTTTATCTCTCTTTATAAATGAAACATCCACATTTTTTGTTCTAATTTGAGAAAACACATGCTCTACAAGGATTTGACTGCATATAAAGATAAATAAACTCACCAGTTCATGAGATTTTAACTTTTCTTTTGTAATGTCAGCATTTCTTTTTAGTTGTTCATTTTCACCTACATAAAAATCATCAAAGCAAAAATCCTAATATGGGAATATATTGAGTAATTCAAGTTTTCCTTCATGTATGCATTCAACATTTACTACACATCAGACACTGTGTATAACAATGGAAATGCTAAAATAAAAAGAATTACCGCTCTTCATAGAACTTACAGTCTAGTGGTGAGAGGTGTAAGCAGATATACTATACTTTGATAACTGCTTTGTAATGGCAGAGTGTCTGAAATACCACGGAGACCCGTAGAAGAAACACCTAAGTCTGTTTGAAGGGATTTACCACTTGAGCTGAGTCTTAAGTAATAAAATTTACCCCACATTGGAGAGGAAGGCATTCTAAGTACAGATAACTGACCAGAAGACTTTGGGCTTGAGTGACTATATCATGTTCATGAAAACTGCAATTCAAGTGCAGTCCTGCTGGAGAGCAAAGTGTGAGTAGCATGTGCTAAATCAGGTGGGGCCATATCCTAATAGGAGGTGGACACATTCTACATGAATTACTGAATTTTACAGGTTGCAGGGTCAAGAGGAATTTGGAATGGTGAAGGGAAATGATTAGAATTAAATGCTGAAAAGATCTGGAAGATGTATGGGAGGGTTCTGCCCTAGAAGGATGGAGATCAATAAAGGTAAATCAAATAAGAAATAACAGAAACTTAAATTAGATCAGTGGCAATAGGAGAAAAAGAAAAATAAAGATAACTAGATGTTAGGATAACTAGTTTAGCGACAAGATAACCCAGGCAAAAGGAAAGGGAGACTTTTGCCTTCCAGGTTTCTGGTTTAGATAATTTAAAATATTCATTAGTTTGGCATTCAGAGACGAATTAGTGCCTATCCTTCACAAACTCTTCCAAAAAATTGAGAAGGGACAATACCAAACATGTTCTATGAAGCCAACATTACACTAATACCAAAACTGAACAAGGACAACACAAAAAAGGAAAACTACAGGCCAATCTCCCTAATGAACACTGATGCAAAAATCCTCAATAAAATTTTAGCTATCAGAATCCAACAATGTATCCATAAGATAATTCACCACAACCAAGTAGGATTCATTCCAGGGACACAAGGATGGTTCAACATCCGAAAATCAATCAACGTTATCCAACACATCAACAAAAAGAAATATAAAAACCATATGATAATATCAATAGATGCTGAGAAAGCTTTCGACAAAGTGCAACACCCATTCATGATAAAAGCCCTTGAAATTCTTGGGATACAAGGAGCATACCTCAACATCATAAAGGCCATCTATGACAAGCCAACAGCCAGTATCATTCTCAATGGTGAAAAGCTGAAAGCAATTCCATTAAGATCTGGAACAAGACAAGGATGTCCACTCTCACCACTGCTTTTCAATATAATACTGGAAGTCCTAGCCAGAGCAATAAGACAAGAGAAAGACATACAAGGAATCCAAATAGGAAAAGAAGAAGTCAAATTATCACTAGTTGCAGATGATATGATAATATACATAGAGAACCCCAAAAACTCCACAGAAAAACTAATTCAACTCATCAATCAGTTCAGTAAAGTGGCAGGATACAAAATCAACATGCAAAAGTCAGTAGCCTTCCCATACACAAACAATAAATCTGAAGAAGAAGAAATAAAAAAACCCATCCCTTTTATTATCGAAACAAAAAAAATCAAATATTTGGGAATAAATCTAACAAAAGAGGTAAAGGACCTATACAAAGAAAACTATAAAACACTGTTAAAAGAAATAGAAGACACAAAGAAATGGAAAAACATCCTCTGCTCATGGTTTGGAAGAATAAACATTATTAAAATGGCCATCCTACCAAAAGCAATATACAGATTCAATGCTATTCCAATCAAAATTTCAATGACATTCTTCAAAGAAATAGGACAATTATTGATGAAATTCATATGGAATCACAAAAAACCCCAAATAGCCAAAGCTCTCCTGAAAAAAAAAAAGAAGGAAATGGAGGCATCACACTCCCAGACTTCAAACTATACTACAAAGCCATAATCATCAAAACTGCATGGTATTGGAACAAGAACAGACATACAGACCAATGGAATCGAATAGAAAATCCAGAAATAAACCCACAGATTTATGGTCAACTAATCTTTGACAAAGGAGCAAAGACTATGCATTGGAGCAAAGAAAGTTTGTTCAATAAATGGTGCTGGGAAAACTGGGTCGCTACATGCAAAAGAATAAAGCTTGACCACTACCTCACACCATACACAAAAATCAACTCAAAATGGATTAAAGAACTAGACATAAAACCTGAAACCATAAAATACATAGAAGGAAATATAGGCGAAACACTATGTGATATGCACATCAAAGACATCTTCACAGACACATCACCCAAAGCAGTGATAGTGAAGGCAAAGATAAACAGCTGGGACTACATCAAATTAAAGAGCTTCTGCACAGCAAAAGAGACAATAACAAAAACAAAGAGAAACCCCACCAACTGGGAGAACATTTTTGCACCCAACACTAATGATAAAGGACTGATCACAAAAATCTGCAAAGAGCTGATGAGACTCAACAACAACAAAGAAAATAATCCAGTCAAAAAATGGGCAGAAGAGCTAAAAAGAAACTTCTCTGAAGAGGAAATGCAAATGGCCAACAGGCATATGAAAAAATGTTCAACATCACTTGTAATCAGGGAAATGCACATCAAAACTACCATGAGATACCATCTTACACCAGTGAGAATGGCACATATTAAAAAAACTAGCAACAACAAATGTTGGCGAGGGTGTGGAGAAAAAGGAACTCTCCTGCACTGTTGGTGGGAGTGCAAACTGGTCCAACCACTATGGAGAGCTGTGTGGAGATTTCTGGACCTACTAAACATAGAGCTTCCATATGATCCAGCAATTCCACTCCTAGGTATTTACCCAAAGGACACAGAAACATCCATTCCAAAGAACACCTGCACCCCTATGTTTATAGCAGCTCTATTTACAATAGCTAAGCTTTGGAAACAGCCCAAATGCCCAAAAAATAGATGACTGGATCAAGAAGATGTGGTACATATACACCATGGAATATTACTCAGCATTCAAAAAAGAAAAACACATGCAATTTGCAGCAACATGGATGGCGCTGGAAGGGATCATGCTCAGCGAAATAAGCCAGAAAGAAAAAGAAAAATACCGGATGGTCTCACTCATAGCAGGAATCTAGAAAACTTAAATAAGGGACCAGGAAAATGAATAACTATAAGAAAGTGAAAATCAAAATCAACAAAAAACTATGAACCAGAGACACTTTTTGGGGGGTGGGAGGCAGGAGGGATTGGGGTCAGAATGGGGGGGTTGCAATTGTATGGGGAATATAAAAATAAAATTTATTATTTAAAAAAAATATTCATTAGTTTGGGAAAAGTTAAAAGGGGAATGACATCTCATTGTGGTTTTGGTTTGTATTTCCCTAATAATAAGTGATGACGGTCACTAGACACAAGAGTCACAAAGTGGAACTCTTGTGTATAGTTGATATAAACCACAATGATATTTATAAACATTTTAAAAATAGTTTTTTGACTTTTGTGTGACCAAGTTCTTTCTTGTTCTTTTGTTTGTTGTTGTTGCCTGTGTTCTCATTGTACTGTTGTTATAAAGTTTGTAAGGTCTGTTTTTTTCTTTATATAGCATCTGTGGTTTCCAGATTGGTTAAGAAGATATTTAGATTGTACATGCTGTATTGGGGATTTTCTTTCAAGTCTTTATTGTTCTTTTTTATCCATCTGGAACTTATTTTTGATGTGGTGGGAATGAGTCCAATTTCTTTTTTTCCCAGATGGAAAGCTGTACAAATATACCAGTACCATATGTAAAAATGCCACTTCCCCCCAATAAATTGAAATATTCCTTGTATTAGACACTAAGAAATATTATGGCTTGTTTCTAGAACCTAGCTCTCTATTTGTTCCATGAATATGTATTTCAACTTCTATGCCAATATCATATTGATTTCATTACAATAGCTTCAGAGCATGTTATCTGGAAAAAGGAAGTCTTCTTCCCCCATATTCTTCTTTTTCATAATTTTCTTATTTATTCTTGTTTTTCTTGTTTATAAATTTCTTCTGCCAAATGAACTTTAAGATTATTTTACACAATCTTCTTCCTCTCCCCTTCCCAGTTAAGAATTCTAATTAAAATTGCATAATATATAAACTTCAAGAAAATGGACTTTAATGATGATAAATTTTCCTTTACCCAGAAAACAGATCAAGTCATCTAAATATTGTACTACTTGCATATTATCTGTCTTTTGCACATCTATAACTATGCTATCTAGAACCACAGAATTTATCATTGAACTACAGCCATCTCCTGAAGAAATAACCAATCTTCTTAATACTTTATATCACATCTCAGTTGACTCTATGTTGGCTTTCATCTGTAATACAATCAAAATATGTTTATTGTTATCACTGCTTTTTTTTTTTTAACATCCTACCTGATTCTGCATTAGGCTGTCAAGCATATATTCCCATACTGGCTATTTCCTTAAGGCCTAAGGTTCTTGTGGCTCTGGCTATAGAAGTTATAAATTCCAATAGCATTTTGCATCACTGGAGAGTCCAACTAGCCCTGACATCTGACAAAGAATCTTTTTCTGAAGTCACCAAAATTCACTTTATTCTCTTGGACTCTAATAACTTTGCATGACATTTTTCTAAAATTGATTATTCTCCTTTGGTACTGAACTGTGAGGAAAGTTCTTCAGTGTGTATTGTCTTTAGACTCATTATATACTTATAATTGACTTTCTTTGGTATCATTCATGTCTGATTACTTAAGTTTGTCATTTAATTCTGTAACAATTTAGATTTCTTAGATAAACATTCTTATGAAGTTGTCTGAGAACATTCTCAAAAATTGAGGGCATCCACAAGTGGTATTTACTCAGATGCTGTTAATTTTTTTTTAATCTTTTAATACACTGTGCTTTCATTTTGTTTTTTAAAAAATCAGCTATTCATAGTAATATAACTACCCAAATTATGTTTTGCCCTGATTTTTAGAAAATCCACCCAACTATCTTCTCATTTATTTACAGGGTCAGTGTCATGGATCTACAATCTCCGCAGTTGTTCAGAGCCCTGCATTCAGAAGCATGCCATACTTGGCTTAATACTCTGCCACCAATGTCTTGAAATTCTTAATAATTTTGTCTTTGAACTTATATTTTGTAAATAATTCCAGCAGGACAATGGAACATGTGAGCAAAGAGCATATGAGCCATATTCATGTCCCTGTCTCCATATTTGTACACAGCATTTGCCATGATGCTTGGGAAGTTAGCAAGACTCAAAGGTACAATTAAATGTTTCTGAGCTCCTTGGATCTGTGTGCCTATTTTTATTCTAATATCATACTGATTTACCACAACTTTGTTATATAGAACAGCATTGAATTTATGAAGCACAATACCAACATTCTTTTGTTTTCTCAGAATTGCTTATTTTACACAAGTATAGCCTTGATGCATGACAAAAAATTAAATAGTAATCTATTACTGCAGTTTATTTATTTTTTATTTTTTATTTTTTCCTTTGAAAAGTGAACTTTACTCTCATCAAAGGGTGAAATGGAAAGGGGCAATAATACCTTATTTTTTTCAGGTTTATTAAGATATAACTGACATATAAGTTCATGTAGGGTTAAGATGTACAATATGATAATTTGATACAAATACACATTGGGAAACACATTCTTCACCTCACATAGCTACCATTTTGTTGCTTATTACTGCAGTTTAAATAGAATATTCATTATGTAATACATTGCTAAATTTTTGAAAGTATTAAAGAAAGTGATAGACTGATTATTAAAATATCCCAATTTCTCTGAATTTTCTGTTCAACAAAGCACTTATTATTTTATAAAAATTCAGAAAATGATTAATTAGTAAGGAGCCCAGATTTAATGGAATTTACTGTGAATGATGTAAAAACTTTATTTTTAAAGGTGCTCAAATACATAATTTTTCAAGGTTTTATTTTCTAGCTTACCTTTCAAATTATGTTGATATTCAATGGTCTGTTGTAGTCCTTTTATCATATTATGAAGAGTAGCACATTCTAAAACATAAAGAATAAATTAATTGAAAATTATTTGCTTACATTTTGAAATTTTTCAAAGTTGAAATATTTACAATATTTAATTTATAATTATGAGATATCAATAAGGCAATCAGGTATCTCAAGGTGAATTATATAAGTACTTTTTAATCAATCACTCTTCAATTCAAAGGCATTCCAGGATTTAGTAATGAGTTTTTAAGACACAATAAATGCAATAAATCCAGTATTGTAGGGTTTAACACCTATATCTAGGTTTTCAGTACACTTGTCACCAGTGTGGAAACTTCTGTAACTTTAAGCAGTCTTCTTGGTTGTAACCCTAGTATAGTAGTATTTTCTGTTTTGTTTACCATTTCTCCCTAGGATCTCTAGGATCTAGAGCAATTGTGGTCCACTGTAGGCATTCCATAAATATATGCTGCGTGACTGATGGATAGACCAGCAATATCATAGTAAACTGAAGTAAGAAAGGATTAAGTAGAGAAGCTTTGGCCTGAAAAAACTAATACATACTGGTTTTCTGAAAGCTATGCAAATATTAGATCACTTAACCCTTTTAGCCTTAGGAAGTAGATCTTAGAATTTGCTACATTTTGGGCCTCCCCGGTGGCGCAGTGGTTGAGCGCTGGGTTACGAAGCCGCCCGTAGCCTCTGTGGCCGGGGTTCAATCTCTGGTTGCTCCCCGTCCTCTCCTGCAGCCCTCTGCTCCCCTCAGCAATGTACTTCGGTCCTTCTGCCTGCTCTGCTCCCCGCTCTGGCTCTGGTGAATTCTCTCACCCTCCCGCGCTTCTGACTGTACCTAGTGCTTGTATAAACACATAATCTTAAAAAAAAAAAAAAAAAAAAGAATTTGCTACATTTTAACTATGAGGAAATTGATATACATAAGTTGAGTGACTGCCCCAAGGGTACATTTATAACTAGTAAGTTGCAGAGCTGGAACTTGAATCCCAGTAGTTCAAAACTAAAGTCTATGATTTTAACTACTTTACTAACACAAAGGAGAACTTCAGAGTAATTTGATTTGCAAGTCCTGGAAAGAGGGCAAGAACAGAACTAGAGATTCTTTGTGACAGTTATTATCATTGCATTTTTGCTATAAGGTTAGGAAACATAGGGTACACTAATTTTACAATTTTACTAGCTAAATAGATGGCAATGAAAACTTTGTAGAGAATAATAATATTTTTAAAAAGAAAGATAACTTTGAAGTTTAAGGGCCACTCAACCTTTATGTTCTTCACTTAACAGCTAATGAATATTGAGCTTTATTATCTATCTTTCAGTTTTTGAGGTCCATGCCCAATATTTAGTCAGTGTGCACCAGTATGACGTAGTGACTAGCTTCCACTCTGACATCTGTACTAATGGTTAAATATTAAATACCTCATTTGCAGCTGGTAATAAAAAAATTGTCTAGGTATAACAGTACCATTTATTCAGTGATCATTCTGCCAGGCATTAAACTAAATATATTGTAAACACTACCCCAATTTGGTATTCAAAATGTACCGAGAAGTTAGTATCACGATCCTGATTTACAAAAGAAGTCATAGTAGAGATCTGGTTACTTGCCAAAATTCCACAGCTAGTAAATGGAAAATCTCAATTTAGACATAGTTTTTCTCATTTCAAATCCTGTGCTCTTGATCTGCTATCTAATACTTCCTCAGGAATTGTAGCAAATGTTGATAAAACCATAAAACTTGGAGTCAGAGGAACTGGATTTGCTTTCTAGCTATCTTCCTCTGGGTGAGCAACTTAACTTATTTGAACTTCAAACTCTTCATTTGCAAAATAAAAATATGAGTAATACCCACCCTAGCTCACATAATAGACTATTAACAATCTAATGAGAAAACAGACCTAAAAATTCACTCAAAATATTTAACATAGGTGTAGTTTTTAGTCTCCCATGTCCCTCAACAATTTGTATGTATCGCTTTCCTCCTTTATCACATTGCATTTTAGTTACTTGTGTTTTCTCCCACTAGATAGTGAACTCTTCCAGGTAAAGATCATTACTGACTTATTTGGATACATCTTGCATCTAACATGGTGACTATTTCAAAAGTGTTCAAAATTTTGTTTGCTTTTTTATTTATTGAAGGAATGAAAGAACCAGCATTGTGAGGACAGGATGCTAAGCTTCACCGTTTAGATGGAGGTGCTGTGGGCAGCTTCACAGCCCAGTGCTCAACTGCTGCTCCACCAAGGGAGGCCCTGAAGCTGTTTCTATGACTGTGGTTTTTCACTCTTCCCCACACCATGTTTGCCATTCTACATTCCACTGAGATAGTTTCCGACAACCTCCATTTTTCCTCTCTTGTTATTTCCCAGTAGTAGGGTGAGAGTTAAATTACATTTGGTAGACATCAGCTGATAACCTACTTCTCTACTATGTTAGCTGCCACAATTAAAAAATTCAGTAGGAACAGACTCTGATATCGCTTGTTTTTGTGACTTTGAGCCATGAATCCAGCAATTAATAAAATATGGTAGCTGAAGGTATAACAGTAAACAGTAAATTAAAATTAAAAATACATATTTTCAAAATGTGAACACAAGGTGGCCCTCTCAACACATTTGTTTTTAACAAAGGAAACTGGCTCATAAGGAATTCTTAAGGTAGAATACCATTAACTATTTTAGAATGATTTAATTTTTTTTGCAAATCTTTACCATCATTATCATTTCTGCTTATAATGTAATTTGAAGAACATTATACAACCCAATTCTCCCTAAAAACTAGAGCTCAGAATGTCAAGCCACCACATTAATTTAGTAAATCTACACTTATTTTAAGCTCAGATTTAGGCTCTACCTTTAACTAGCAATTTGGTATTAAATCTGTTTCATAAAGCAATTTGAAATATTAAATACAATTGTGTATGAAAAATATTTTTTTACAGTGCTTGGCCCTCAATGCTAATATAATTACCATCTTGAACTGGCAAAGAAATTCTTTTTCTGGTATCAAAGGTAGGAAATAAAATATTAGAATCTCAATCTCATCACTAAACAAATCCAATCATATATGTGGTTTGTTCCTCTCTAAGTGAACTAGTACACACTTGACTCTGTAAGCTGCCATTCTCACTTGAACTTCTACTTCTGCCCTGAATTATCTAGCAAAGTCTATTAGATTTAGAATAAGTAGAACTGAATTTTTCTTAAATGTACTTTTTTCAAATTGTAAATATACACGAAATACAAATATAGAAAAGTGTCTCTCTAATCTCTGTTCTAAAACTACCTAGTTTCGTTCTTCCCAAAGCAAGTCACTGTTACAGAATGCTGTGTATCTTTCCAAAGGTATATAAATATATATGGGAGAGGGCATGAGTACATACAGTGTTTATAAAAATTACAGCACACTGTACATTGTTGCTTTTACATATTGGCACCTTGGAAATTATTCAATATCATATCAAGTGACTTCATTCTATTTTTATCAAGTACATATTATATCATTAAATAAATATACCAAAATTAATTTAATCAGATCTCAAATGATGGATAATGTCATACTTGGGAAGGCTTTCTTCATTCTAAAAAAAAAAAAAAAAAAGCCCTATATTCTCTTCTAGAATTTTTGTGGCTCTATCTTTTGACTTTTAGCTAAATTTGTTTTCCAGAACAGTTTTATGTCCAAAAAAGTTGAGAAGATATTACAACCTGCTTCCCCTATAATTAACTTCTTACATTAGTATGGTATATTTGTTACAGTTAATGAATTAATGCTGATGCATTATTATTATTATTAACTAAAACTTATACTTTTTTTTTTTAAGTATTTTTTTAAAATATTTTTATTTATTTATACAAGAACAGGTCAGAGGCGTGGGAGGGTGAGAGAATTCACCAGAGTCAGAGCGGGGAGCAGCTGGGGGGCAGGAGACATCTATGGCCATGTAGGTTTCTCCCTGGCCGGCCAGGTATGGAACCTGCACTGCAGAGGCTGCGGACAGCTCCACAGCACGGTGCTCAACCCACTACACTACCGGGTAGGCCTAACAATCTGTGCTTTATTCAGATTTTCTTGGGATTTGTCTTATGTCTTTTTTTTTTTTTCTGTTATAGGACTCAACCCACAACAGATCACATTTAACTGGCATGTCTACTTAGGCTCCTCCTGGCTGACACAGTTACTCAAAATTTTTTGTTTGTTGACTGACCGCGAAAGTTTTGTGGTGACTGATCAGGTATTTTGTGGAATATTCCTCTATAGGGATTTTATCTGATCCTCATCTCATGAATAGAGAGGGTTATGTTTTTTTTGGCAGAAAGACTACAGAAGTAAAATACTATTTTCATCACATCATATTAAGGCTGCATACTATCAACACGACATCAAGTTGACCTTGATCATTTACCTTAGGTAACATGTCAGGTTTCTCCCCTATGTAGTTCCTCTCTACCACCCTTTTTCCATAATGTATGATCTACTATAGTGAAGAAAGTCACTACATAACCCATATCTAATGAGTGGGGTGTTATGATTTACTACCTGAGGACAAATGACATACATGTATGTTATTTTGAAATCCTTCTGCAAAGGAGCTTTGTCTCTTCTCCATTTATTTATTCAAACATTTATTTTTATCAGTATGGATTTATCCATGTTTATTCTATACTATGAGTTATAAATCCAATACTATTTATTTTGTTGGCTCAAGCTGTTCCAGCTATTGAGAACGCTTTCAGTTGACTCCTGTATGCTTCTGATATACCCCCATTATTCCTGTTCCTTTTATCATAAACCAAGATCTGGGTGTTAGGTGTGCTCATTGCTACTGGGGTATTCTGATTACATGCCCTCTCAGTTGGTAATAGCCAGGAAATACATGTACATGGCTTTCTCTCCCTCTAACACCAGTACTTTACTAGCAGGGAGCCTGGTTCTGGAAGAGCAGCAGTTGACGTGGATAGGACAAAACCCCTAACTGTGGAATTTCCTGGACATCAGGCATTTCTCCATTCAGGTTTAGAGGAACCACCATCATGGATGAAACTGCCACAGAAGGCAGTGCTGTGACTTCCTTAGACAGAGGTGGGCCTGTGGGACAAGAGAGTTTCGTTGTCAGGCTCCTGGCAGCAGAGCGGTGCATATGATGTGGGTGTCTGAGAAATGAGGAGAGACCTTAGGACTAGTAGAGCTTATTTTTAACACTAAAAATTTTGAACCATGTTAAATTCCTTTTGTGCCATTGTGAGCTAGGGATTTAACTGTATATATTTATTTTTCACAGTCTTAAAAGCCTGGATTGAGTCTTGGAATTACCATTTCTTAGCTGAGTGGCTAACTTCTTCCATTCTATGTTTCTTCATTACTAATATGAGTACTGCCTGTCTTCCATGGCTGTAGTAAGGATGCAATGAAATGGAAGTCTGGAAAATTCTATGTGAATTTAAAATATTTTATGAATGTATGATACCAAAAAAACACTTTTAGAATTAGCATTTCTTCAGGTAGGAAAGAACTAACCTTCTTTAATTGAGACCCCCTTTGTTTGCATTACTTTTAATAAGCAGTTAGCCTTTTCCAACTCAATATCCAGTATTTTGTACTTTCCACTGGTTTCCATGATTTTCTGTGGAACAAACAGAATACATATTATTACCAAGTCAATGCTACCATTTTGATGTTTTTACTAAGAACATGAGCACTAATGAAAATATAAATCATTTAATTTTTCATAATTGAGTCTCACATATATTTTTAAAATCAGTCAACTTCCTAATTTATTTTAAATTTTAAAAGCAACATGGTAAAAAAAAAAAAAAGGTAAAAAAGACTGATTAATAGTTGTAAATGAAAAGTAAAAATATGACCTAACTTGACCCTCCTTCTTTCCAACTTTTCAACCTTCAGTCCTATGGTTAACAATTTCTTACACATGTTCTCCACCTATTTTATGACTATACTATTGTAGAAAAGGATCACATTATGCTCTGTCCTGCACCTTGGATGTTCTACTTACTACTACTCTCCTGGAGATGCTGTCATATAAGCAGATATTGCATTTAATGCCATGTATGTATATATTGTAATTTATTTAAATAGTCCCCTAGTGAGGAGAATTTGTGTTGTTTCCACTTTTTTATGCTATTATAGAAAATGAATAAACATTCTTGAACACATTCTTTTGTAACTTTGTGACTGGTATAGTAGCCACCACGTACCTTTCAAACAGTTTCAAAAATCATCAATTCAAAACCAGCCTTGCATTATCTATACCTCTATCCACTTTCTTATTCTCGCCACTTCTGAATTTACCTCAAAGCAACTCCCTGACATTTTATTTCATCAATAAATATGACCATCTATATTATCTCTAAAGTTAAGACACTTAAAATATGATTACAATACCACTATCTCATCAAAAATAAACAATTTCTTATTTAAATGTTTAAGAATATGATATTTTCAAGTAAATCTCCAATTCTTTGTACAATTCTTATCTCTTATTTTTTTTTTTTTAAATCTTAAATTTTATTTTTATATTCCCCCATACAATTGCAAACGCCCCATTCTGACCCCAATCCTTCCCCTAACGCCCCCCACCCCCCAAAAAGTGTCTCTGGTTCATAGTTTTTTGTTGATTTTGATTTTCACTTTCTTATATTCATTTTCCTGGTCCCTTATTTAAGTTTTCTAGATTCCTGCTATGAGTGAGACCATCCGGTATTTTTCTTTTTCTTTTTGGCTTATTTCGCTGAGCATGATCCCTTCCAGTGCCATCCATGTTGCTGCAAATTGCATGTGTTTATCTTTTTTGAATGCTGAGTAATATTCCATGGTATATATGTACCACATCTTCTTGATCCAGTCATCTATTTTTGGGCATTTGGGTTGTTTCCAAAGCTTAGCTATTGTAAACAGTGCTGCTATAAACATAGGAGTGCAGGTGCTCTTTGGAATTGATGTTTCTGTGTCCTTTGGATAAATACCTAGGAGTGGAATTGCTGGATCATATGGAAGCTCTATGTTTAGTAGGTCCAGAAATCTCCACACAGCTCTCCATAGTGGTTGGACCAGTTTGCACTCCCACCAATTATCTCTTATTAAGGCAAATAAAACTGGTTAGGAAAGTCCAAGTTAATTGTTTAAAAACAGTTCATAATGTTAATTCAAAATACACACTATCATGGAAATTCCTTTATATGACAATATTTCATTATGCAGAGGAAAAGAAGGATAGAGAAAAATGAGAGAAAATAGATGATCTTAATTAGATTATTTTAATTATATTTATTAGGTAATAATTAATAGATTGTTTTAATTATAATAGATTATTTTAATGGCAATAAATACACATTATTCCCCCGAACTCTTGCTTCATAAATGCACTCTCCAAATCTTTAATTTATTCATCTACGTTTTCTCAATATTTCCTCCTACTCTTCCCAGGAGAGGGGAGAATTTGGTCTATTGTAGGGTAAATGGTTTTGGGACTTTTTTGCCCTCCCACCATTAGAATTGCCCTGTCTGATGGGGTACCTGCAGTTGTTAAATTGTTGTAAGTTATGCTGTTTACTTCTGTGGGCCATGGCAGCAGTATTGCCATAGCTGCCAAGAGAAGCAGAACCGGCAGGAGAGAAGGGGAGAAAGAAGCCCAGAGTGAAGACTTGCCTGCTGTGTACCTGGTTGTTGCATTACATGTAAAAGCTCAATAAAACCCTGAGAAAGCCACCAAGGGCTTCAGGACACTCCTTTACCGCAGTCTGCTTGGATCATAGAACCTGCTCAGTGCCCTTCCTGCCCCTACATCTATTATGAAATTTGTTGAGTTGGGAGGGGCACTTTAAGTGGGCCTGCTTATAGACAAAAGAGAAGGAAAAGGAACAGACAGAAGAAGAGAGAATAGGAAAGACTTAAAAAAATAAATAAATAAAGTTAGCTAGATGGTGAAGGATTGAGAATTGAGTTTATTTCAGTTCTTTCTAGACCATTCCTGAATTTATAGCTAGCCTGCACATTTAAGTATGTATTTTCCCATTAACTTTAACAAAAGCATTTCAATTATTTAATCCCTTGCCCCAGAACACTTTGTTGTGTTAGTATATTCAAAAACCAAACATAAAAATGAGAAAGGGCTTAGTGAAATCTGTTCTACTTTTCCTATGTACTATGACTATTTGATATCTTTACATACCTCTTCTAGCTGAGAAAAGTCACTTATAAGTTTGTCAAGATTCACACTACTAATCTTTTTCATACATCCTTTGTCGCTTTGATCCATGCCTTCTAAAGAGAAGATAGTGTTAAATAAATACTTTAATTAATAAGACTTAAAGCACAATGACAATTCAAACACTAAAATTTCTGTAGTCAATTATTGAGTACCCACTTAGTTTTATTGCACGCAGAAAATTTTGTTATATCTATTATTAACAAGAGTCACATACATTAAGGCTTCACCACTCTACAAGGTTTCACCCCCACTCTACAAGGTTTTCTCTAAACAAGCTGAAAAATGGGGTAAAGATATGTGCATATGTAGAAATTATTTGTCCCTTTTATATAAAAACCTATGTCATTGTTCAATAATCATCTTCTTAATATCAGTATGGATGATATATTATTAAATCTAATGCATGACTCTTAAGTACAGATATTATCAGTTTCAATTTTAAAAATATTTAATTAGCATGCCACAAATTTTTTTTGCTGAATTTTCTCATAGTATACTTATTGCTATGGACGAAATCATGTTCCCCCCAATTTATATGTTGAAGCCTCAACCCTCAAGGGTGTTTTTCCTTATAAAACCTTCACTAATATTGCAGTGCATGCAATATAACTAAAAATATTACTAAATTGCATGTTACTAAAATAACATGCACTATCACTGCATGCTATCCCTTTGGTCTTACTGGCTTAACCATTCAATTCATTTCTAGCTCTCTTCATGGCCCCTCCTTGCAGTTTCCTGGTCTGAGCTCTTCCATGGGGATGGTCCCATTAACCAGGAGAAACTAGATGACCAGTTGGTGATTTCAGTGCTCGTCAGTTTCCTTAATTAGAAACATACTGATTTGTGACCTTCAAGACCCAGCTTCAATCATCTCCATAAGTGGGTAACAACCCCAGTCCTTTCTTTTCTTTAAATTTATTTATTATTATTCTTTAAATTTATTTATTTATGCATACAAAACTGAGGTACAGGCCAGACATGTGGGGGTGAGAGGATTCACCAGAGACAGAGTGGGAAACAGAACAGACAGACTGACTGAAATACACTGCTGAGGGGAGCAGCAGGCAGTCAGGAGAGGTCTGCTGTGCCGTTTGGGTATCCCCCTGGCCGGGGATCGAACTCGTGCTGCAGTGGCTGTGGACAGCTTCATAGGTTGTGTCTTAACCCTTGCGCCCCCAGAGAGGCCCCCCAGTTCCTTCCTTGCCTTCCTCCTGCCCCCTTTCATGCGGGCCTCTCTCCCCAACCGAGCAGGGTGCTCCTTGGCCCGTTTTCGCGGGTCCCAAGGACAGGCTCGGGCTACCCCAATTTCTTCCCTCCTCACCTCCCACCATAAATTTTCCTCTCAGCCGAAGGCGTGGGGTCCTGGCTCCCTTCACCTACATCTTGAGGTCCTTAGGGCTTACCTCAGCGGGAGCACCGCAGGCAGGCGGGGCGTGGCTGGGTCAAAACCTTGTTATGACCCAGAAAACCGATGAGGTGTGAAGTAAAGAATATTCAGGGGGAAAGTGGGAACCTGGAACTGCTCACAACAGTGTGGGGCGCCCCTGTTGTGGCCGACGCCCCCACAGCCTCCCACGCCGCTGGCTCCCGCGAGGGTGGCGGGTCCGGACGGGTCCGTCCCCACTCCCGTTCCCCTCCCAGGGAAGCAGGTTCCCCCAACTATGGGTCCGCAGGTCTCTGGGACCCTCCTCCAGGCGTACCTCCTTAACGTGGCTTCCCCCAGCAACAGGTGCTTCTCAGATATTTGCACATGGTTTCTGTAGTGTGAGGACAGCTAGTGACTGCCAGATCAATAATAATTTCCCCAACCAAAGAGTAACTTACTCTGGTTTACGTTTTGAAAGTGAGTTAGCCTATTGAATAAATAATAATCCACACTTATTTGTGTCACTTATAAACAAGTCTTATGCACTACCAGAGAATGTTAGATAGTGGGGAGAAAAGTGTGACTATAATGTTGTTTGTCTAATCCAGAGTCACTTAGTGGATATGATCTCCCAACTACCGGCTTTTCTTCATTTAGTGGTTAAGGGCAAAGACTGCAAGGATTCTAGCCTTATTCCTCTATCAACTGGGGGATTGTGCTTAAGTTTCTAATTATATTCAAGGGATATGAATCTTGTTGGTGCAATGGGTGTATGGAGGTCAGAGACTGCATATTTGAGGCTTAGAGATTTTGTAACTTAGATCATCATAAATTCTGACGCATTATTTGAAATTAAAAAACAAATAAGCCAGTAAAATTCTGGTGGTGGGGAGAAGGTAGGGGGCTTACAGCTGTTACTCTAATGTGTCCAAAGTTATATGATGGTAATTTATAATTCAGTGTGCTTTATATTTGTATAATAAGCATTAGGTGCTAGGTCTTGTTCTATTTCCTATTTTATTCCCACTCAACATTTTTTTTTAATGAAGATTTATTTATTTATGCACACTAGAGCTGGAGTACAGGCCAGAAGTGTGTGTGTGGGGGGGTGAGAGGATGCACCAGAGTGGGGAACACAGAACAGGCAGACTGACTGAAGTACACTGCTGAGGGGTGCAGCGAGTGAGAAAGGAGAGGTCTGATGTGCCATGTGGGTAGCTCCCTGGCCGGCCAGGGATCAAACTTGTGCTGCAGAGGCTGTGGATAGCTTCATAGGTTGCGTCCCTTGCACCGCCAGGGAGGCCCCCTTCCCATTCAACATTTTGTCTCAAAGATTCATGCTTGGGGTAGTGCTTAAAAACATGACCTCTCAAAACTAGAATTACTATATTGAGTAGCTGGCTCTTCCACATTTTAGCTCTGTGATCTTGTGCAAATTACTTCATTTCTCCATATTTCAGCTTTCATATTTAGGATGCCAAAATGGAGAAACGCAGGGGGTTGAAATAAAGATAATGCAGATAAACAAAGAACCAGATAACAGTAAGTGTTCAACAAATGTTTGCTAGTATGATGTCATTGTAGTATGATTATCATTACCTGCTTTAATATCATTAATGATTTACTGTTATTGCTATCACCATCATCATCTAGTTCATTGTTTCTGACCACTGACTAGGGCTGATGTATGTATCCAACCCATTCTGTCTATCCAGCCCTTGAGGATGGATAACACATCGATTCCTACTTTGTGCTACATCATTTCTCCTTATAAACCTATGCAAGAGATGCTCTAAAGCACACATTAGTAATAGTAGCAAGTCACAGGTCACATGCTTACTCAGTTTCACTAAATACTGCTAAGTTGTTCTCTAGAATGACTGTAACAGCTTATACTTCCACTACTTGAGGCAAGAGTGTGAAGGTCTGAACAGCTCAGGACAATTCTGAAGGGCCATTTCAAATCCATAAAAGTCTCTACGGGACCAGCCAAGGTTTTCTTGGGCTGTCTTTGCATCTTGATTTACTGCTCTACCCATTCTTGCTTTCTTCTCCTCCCTGCCACAGATGTTGATCTCAAGGGCACTTTGTCATAAATAGTCTGCATGCTCAGCAACATGGATGGAGCTGGAAGGGATCATGCTAAGCGAAATAAGTCAGAAAGAAAAAGAAAAATACCGGATGGTCTCACTCATAGCAGGAATCTAGAAAACTTAAATAGGGACCAGGATAAAGAATAACTATAAGAAAGAAAATATCAAAATCAACAAACAACTATGCACCAGAGACACTCTGTGGGGGGTGGGGGGGGGCGGGGAAAGGAGGGATTGGGGTCAAAATAAGGGGGTTGTAATTGTTTTTTTGTTTTTTTTTTTTGCCTTATTTTTCTTTATAAAACAAAAATTACACAAAATTGGAAAATGTCTATGAAAGTAGCAACAATAAAATCTAAAGGCAGTGTGAAACATCAGAATCAAGGATATCTACAGAATCAGTTTTGTAAGACTCGGTTTCTAGTATATTTTTTTTTTTTAATTTTTTTTTAATTTTTTTATTTTTTTTATAAATTTTATTGTTATATTCCCCATACAATTGCAGCCCCCCATTCTGACCCCAATCCCTCCCCTCCCGCCCCCGCCCCCCTAAAAGTGTCTCTGGTTCATAGTTTTTTGTTGATTTTGATTTTCACTTTCTTATAGTTATTCATTTTCCTGGTCCCTTATTTAAGTTTTCTAGATTCCTGCTATGAGTGAGACCAGGGGGTTGTAATTGTAAGGGGAATATAAAAATAAAATTTAAATTAAAAAAAAAAGAAAAAAAAATAGTCTGCATGCTAACTGAGCCATAGGGCGAGCATAACTTTAGGGTCAGAAGAGCATAGGAAAAAGCCTTGAAGCAATAAGGGAAGATCTAGAGATAGGGGCAGCAGAGCATTCCTGGACAAGGGCAATAAAAAAAGGACTGTTAGATGAGGCTGTGAGGCAAGGAAATTCCAGGCACAGCAGTAAGTCAGATTGAGTGAGATCCCCCAAGCACTAACCAATCATGAAGAGACTGAAGGGGGTTTTAGAATAATAAGGGGAAAAAAGTACATATTCCCTGAGGCGTGACTCCATAGCAGCTTCCTTGCCCCTCCTGGCCTGCCTCAACAGGCCTTGGAGTTTCACTTTCTGTTCCTTTTCTCCTTAATAAACTTTTTTCTTATATCTATTTTTCTAAACAAATTTGCCTCTTTTTGCTTGCTTGCCTGAGCGTCAGTGATGTTCCTGCTGGGGCTTTGCGAGACACCAACCCGGGGTAGTATAGTGGCTGGGACTCAGCACTGCCCAGGCAGCGGGCAGTGTGGGATCCATTCCTAGCTGAGGAACTAGACCTGAAAACCTGAAATTCCGGTAACAGAACCTCTGCTCACAGTGTGCTTCCTCAAGATCCTGACCTGCAACTCCATGCTATTTTTCAACTGAATTTTAAAACATAAATATTATATAGTGAAGTGATTCGAATGTTTAATCTCAACAAATGCATACAACATGTTAATGAGAAGGCCTTCTGATTTTGTTGCACTTTGAAATGGTTGTTTCCATTAAAAGAAAAAAGAAATGGTTTATTTTAGGAACATGTATTCTGTTCTTCATTTTGTTCCATTTTTGCTATTTTGAAAAATTAGTTACTTCTTTCTTGCATCTCTATAAAAGGAAGTAAACTATTGATGGGTAGCAGAATATGCCACCCTGAAATATGCCACTTTGGCATAAGCAATTATTTTCAGAAACTACAGACACAGGGAGAATCTCTGAAAATAGAGTGGAAGTTACACTTGGGAAAAATACAATGAAAAGGGGGTCTGGCCAGGAAGGGAGCTATTTAACCAGAGAGGACTTTTTACCTAACTATTGCTTGGCGGGGTAACTCATTTCCTTTTTTCAGCTTCCCCCATTTTGAAGTCCTAGACCCTCTGTCCTTTTCCTTAGGTCAGGAAGGTCTATAGGTCCCAATCATCTGGCCACCTTTTGAGTCTCATATCTTAGTGGGGTTCCCCTAAGTATGCACACAATTAAACTTGTTTTTTTCTCCCTCGTTAATCTCTCATGTCAATTTTTTCTTAGCTCAGCCATAGAAACATTGTCTAACCAGCATTTCAGAAAATGGGGAGCAATTGACTAAAATAGAAAATTTTAGGGCTTCAGAATCCTGGGAAACAAAGGATTAAGACTCTGAGGAGTTACCTTACAGCTGGGCATTTCGATTGTACTAAAAGCTGTACTATTTGACCAATTTATGTTAGCTCCATAAGTGCAGTTCTAGTTCCCACCTTGTTTATTCAAGGAAGATAAAGCCTCTAAGCCACCCCACTTGATTTACTCAAAGACAAAAATGTGTAAATAAGCAAATTTTTCAGTCTGTCACAATTACCAGATTCCAACCACCCCTAACCAGTTTTAGCAGTCTGCCAGCATGTAATGAAAACAGAGCATGCCCAGTCCTTAAGTTCATGAGCCCAAATTCACACAAACCTCATTATAAAATACTAAAATCTCTACCCGGGAAAAACTTGAGCCACTATTTTCTGAATATGTGACAAATGTGGTCACATGAACCCCATCTGAGCATGCTCAGATAACTGGCAGGGACCAGGGAAGACCGTGGAGGATCACATTTTTGGTCTCCATTGTCTAAGCTAATAAACAGTTTCTTCTACAAAACTTGTATCTGGTCTACTCAGGCATGTTCAAGAAACTATTGAGTGTAGTGATAAACCTAGAAGGACAGAAGGGAGTTTTTTTCCCTTCCCTACAACACGAACAGGCTAAGAATTTATTTTCTGACTCTAGAAAAGCTATTTATTAAAGCTGAAATTTGTTGTTTGTAATGGGTCATCTGTAAGTCAGTGAATTTCGTTTCTGATATGATCTAAAAGGAAATAGCTTATTATTTTAGACTCAGGTATGCTAGCCAGACAATAGTAGCAGAAAGGAACTAAAAGACTATTAAATAAGTCATCTTTCAGTTAAGCCCATTTGCAAACCATTCAAATATAACTTGTTGGGTTTTGTCTTTGGCCTTATATGTGTGACCTTAGGCAACAGTTAATTTCTGAGGTTCTGCTGGCATTATTAAAAGAAAAACTGAACATATTAAAATTCACAGAGTTCATTGCGCAAGAATTGATGCTATCAGCCAGCCAAATTGGAAGTAGTTATGAGCATTCCACTGACAGGAGCTGAGGGAGAG